CCACACATATGCTCCATCAAGGATGGTGCTACAGGCTGCAAGACAGTGCACTTACAACTACAATAAGCATGTGTAGATGTTAATCTAATACAGCTCCGGCGCGATCCACTAAGCATCCCCCCCCCCTCCCCCCATTTTCATTTTGAACAATGCTCCCGAATTTCGAGGGGTCTCAAGGTTGGCAAGTATGGCTAGATGCTTGTACTGACATATGATTGATTGGCTGACCCGGCTTCCACCGAAGCTTCAAAAAAGCTACAAAGTTGAACATTCGCTCAACTTTTTGCAGCGAGCAACGCGAGCAAAGCTACGGTTCGCTCCCACAATGCAGTTTGGCGAAAACGTGCCCGTCACCCCATTTCAAAGTGGATGGGCAGAAGCGTTGAAGCTTCAACGCAAGCCGCCCTGTGTGGACGGGACGGAGGGTCAGTATCCACACATTTGTGTTCAGCCAACTGTTAACACATTGACAGACTCTAAGATTGTTGAGCTACATCAAACTGCTTTCATTAGTCTAATAATATGAAAGCTGAAGTTTAGATTAGCATTAAGAATAAACAAAACAAATCAGCAATCAGCTCCCTAATTCAGCTCCTAATTAACACATTATTATTTATTGTATGAATTTGAGTGTGTCTTACATTTAAAATCACCAGGAAAAAGCCTGCTACCTTCAGCTTATTACACAACAAAGCCCACATAAACCCCACTTCTCAAAAATCTGCCCCTGGGTTTTCCTATCTACAACAAACGATACTTAAAAATCCTACTTTCACAACATACAAAGCACTTAATGGACTGGGACCAAATACATGTCAGAGATGCTTCCACTGTTATGAGCAGCCAGAGCTCTGAGATCAAACAGGAGGCAGGTTTAACTCGTCGTCCCCATTTCAGACTAAATTTACCGAAGGCAGCTTTTAGTTTTTCATCCATCACAAGCTCGGAACAAACTGCTTGAAAATTCTGAAGGTCTTGCCTGACCCAACATCTGGGTTTTAAATCAAGGTTGAAACCTTTCTTTTTCATTGCATCCTATTCTGAGATCCTTAACCGTGCCTTATCATTGCACACTATTGAGTTGCAGCCAGTATTTTATCGCTTTTTATGGAATTGTCCTTTTTTTGGGTTTGTTTTGATTGTGTGTTTGTATTGTTTCTTAACTATTATGTGTTGAATGCCCGATGTGGAAAGCAACTTTGAATTGCCTCTTGTATCTGAAAAATGTGCAATACAAATAAACTAACCTTGAACCTTGAACCTTAAATGTGTCAGAGGTCTTTGGTCACTTCATCCTTTTAGAACATGCACTGCCATTTTCTTGGGATAATATATCTCTGTTGTAAAGTAAACTGTAGTACATAGAGTAGTCTATAGTCCATCTTTAAATGGTAAAAATCCTTAATACCCAATTCACCCAGAGGATTTTAATGTGTCCTCAGTGAAGCCTTGGCCTGTCCTAATTAAATGCACATTTATAATAACAGAGTCCTATACGTTTAGTAGGAAAGATCTTGACTTCTTTCATCCCAGTGTGCTCACATAATTGGGTGTTATGAAATATGAAAAAAGTGATTTTTACTCCTGATAAGATACTTGATAAGCATTCCTATTAGCATCTCTGCAGCCTCTCGGGTCAGGGATCCTTGACATCATGGCTACCTGAAAGAAATCCAATTGATAAAAGCAAGCCCCACACTCATTGATTTTCAGTAGTTAAAAATAATTAAAGGACTTTTATGAATTTCTCATACTATTCAAACAACCAGTGAGACCCAGGACCTTGTGCTTGTATGTGCTGGAGCAAATCATATCAATATTAATGTTAAAGGTATCATGTAGCATACAGAGTTGTCCCCCCCGGCTCAATGGTGAGAGAGAAAAATAAAAGCAACAGTGGTTGAGTAGGCTAAAGAGTTGTTTGAAGAGGGGGATAACATATAAGAAAAAAGCAATGAAAAAATGCATGTTTATTTCACTGGATAAAACATTTATTTCCTGATCATGGCTGTGACATTCAAAAATAAAAGGGAAAATACAAAAGTGCGGGTTCTCTGCAGACCACCACCACACACTTTCTATTTGGGTCATTAGTAATGAAAAAGTTTATTGTTTTCTGAAGAAAATGCTGCATATTAATACCTTTAAGTATTGGGAAACATTGCAAAACTGTAGATTTTTACTAAATGTAATGTAATTGAGTACAACAGGTGTAGGAGTGTGTTTTCCAGGTAGCAAATGTTTAAGATGTGTGGTTAATTTGTTTTTCTGCTAAATGCCATTACACAAGCTACAGTGCAGATTGACCTCCAGATGTAATATGTCAAATACATTTTTTTAATTACCTTGATTGCCTGAATGTTGTAATATTTCACAGGCTCCGGACTCGATTTAGACATTATCTATTGGTTACTAGCCCTTGATCATATTCATTCACGCAATTCATGCGCATTGATAATCGCATATACGTAGCCGACTGGGCCGTGACAGAATGCACTTGCTTATCTCATCGAAAATTAGGTACGCCTTGACTACTGACTGTTCATCATTTCTCTCTTCAGCAGAGAACATTGTTTAATTTTTTTCAAGGCTGTAGCTTAGTAAAGACCGACAAAAAGTGAAAATTTTTGCCATAAAGGTGGAATCACCATATTTGAAGGATACAGTACATTTCAGAGATTCAGGTAGCTTATACGCAGTGGACCTTGCTGCTGAACTATACACTACGTTCTGAAAGTCAGTACACCGTCCTGTCAAGCGCATGCCGGACGATCTCGGTTAAGCCTGAACCATCGTGGGGATCATTTCTCGGTTGCTTCAGACGGCCGTAGGAGGCGGAGGATCAGGACCTCAAGTGATGGAGATGGGTGATCAGGGATGATGAGGTGCCATTCGTGTTCCGCCATCCCGAGGGGCCGGGTGCCTCACGGTTCTCGTAGAGGGAAGCGACGAGGACGTATCATGGTTGACTGTGGACCCTCATAGTCATGGCTTTCAGGTCCCAGGGAACATGCAATGTATTTGCACAGCCACAATTGATTCTGCATCCAACGCGGATTGGGGTGTGCGATCATTGGAAAGAAAGAGCTCACCCAATACTTCTACCGCTACCTAGTATGTTGTATGCATTGGAGTGGTGCTCAATGCAGGCGCGCTGCGCGCCACCCTGTCAGAGCGCAGACACTCGTCCCTGCTTCGGGCGGTTGACAGCTTTGACTTTCATGCAGACTCTGGGTCTCATGGCGGCTGCTCACGTTGTGGTCCCGCTCAGGTTACTGCATATGCGCCGCAGAGGTGGTTCTCCAGCCTACGTTTAGATCCCAAGAGGCACAAACGACGTCTGGTGACCATCCCCCCCTCAGTGGAGGGCAACCTCCGGTTCTGGGGTCCCCGGATGACCTCTGGAGGGGGTCTCCACTGGGACGGGTGACCTCCTACATCACAGTGTTCACGGACGCATCCAGAACAGGATGGGTAGGGACCTGCCTGAAGAGAGCTATAGGTGGGCGCTGGTCTCTAACAGAAACAAGGCACAGCAGCCTCCTAGAGCTACGGGCAGTAGTATTGGTCCTCCAGCATTTCAAGGCCCTAATTCACGGGAGACATGTACTGGTCAGGAGCGACAACACTACCACAGTGGCATACATCAACAGGCAGGGCGGAGTCCGCTCCGCCGCCTTGTTGACCACAGCGGAGAAACTGTGGTTATGGGCTTCAGAGGTGGTGTTATCTCTGAGAGCCCTCCACATCCCGGAACTGGAGAACAGGGGGGGCGACCTCATGTCGAGGGGCGGCCCCCTGCCAGGCGAGTGGGTGCTTCACCCGGAGGTGGTGAAGCAGGTCTGGGCCCAGTTCGGGAGAGCAGAGGTGGACCTGTTCGCCAGCCGTCGCGACAGCCACTGTGCCCTGTGGTTCTCCATGGCTCTGAGCGACGTTCCGCCCTTGGGGGTGGACGCGTTCGCACACGAGCCATGGCCAAGAAAGCTGCTCTACGCCTTTCCACCGCAGCATCTCATTCTCCCTCTCCTGGGGAGAGTGAGGCGAGAACGTCTGTCAGTCATCATAGTAGCTCCGGATCGCGTCGGGGCGCCGTGGTACTTAGAGATGACACAGATGAAGGTGGGCCAGCCCTGGGCGGTTCCCCAGTTCTGGGGGGCGATGTCTCAAGAGGCAGAGGCACCTCACCTCCTGTAGGGGGGTCCGGGGGGATGATCCCCCGCGAAGATTTTTTATTTAAAGTTAAAAGCATCAATCTGGTGAATTTTGAGATGAAGAGATCCATGGATACATCTCTCAACACCCATGCATATGAAACAGAACTGGAAACAGGTTTTCTTTTTCTTTATGGATATTTTACAAATCACTCCCCTTTTAAACTCTATTCTTGTTTTACTGTCATATAGTATTTCATACCTGTTTTTCCTTTATTCTCTTATTTTTGTTTATAACTATAATGATCATATGAAAGTGTGCCCGTGGGAAAATAATCTTTTGAATAATTTGTGACCAAACCGTTTGAGACCCACTGAGATAACTAGGACTAAAGTTAACAATCTAAACACTCAGAGAGTCCTTTAGCTCATCTGAGCCTCTCAGTCTGTCAGGAGAGGAAGTCTCCTCCAGCTTGTTGTGGAAACCGCTCCTTATGTCCGTTAGTGCAGCTAACACCAAATGCTAACAATACGGTCCCTGCTGGCACCGGTCCCGAGCTTGAATGACACAAGCACACGTTTATTTCCATGCAACTCTCTGATTGGTCTGGTGTCTTGCCTCTGTTGCATTCACTGAACACGAGAAATTACAGTCCTGCCGTCCTCTCTTGTGTCATGATGAGGTTCACGTAAACCACGGTTAATGTATTATATTATTGAGGGAGAATTGTCCGGGGCTACAGAAAAAACCAGGCCAGGCGACGCCACTGGGTAGTACCCATAGAGTCCAGTAGAGGGCTCCGCCTGTGCTTATATAACAAGGGTTACCATACGTAACCCCTCGTTTCATCATGATTCCTGTAGACATAACCAATTATTATTTCCTGTGTGCTTTATGTGTTATTCTTACCTGAGGGAGCGAGAGGATTACACTCATCGTCCAGGCCACAGTCAACATGATTTTGCTTTTCCTTTTCGCCTCACTGATGCCCAAAGGATTGAGAATGGCAGACTGTCTATCCAAGCTAATGACAACAGTTACAAAGGCGCAGGAGTACATCGCCACCAGTTTCATGAACATCAGCAGCCTGCAGAGGAAATCTCCCGCCTGCCACTGCACAGTGATGTTCCACACCGCGTCCACAGGCATCACGATGAAAGTCACCAGCAGGTCCGCCACCGTCAGGTGCATTATCAGGATCCTGACGTGCGACTTGCGCTTGCCTCCGTTAAAGGAAGCCCACAGCACGACCAAGTTGCACACAGCTGACACTGCGCACAAAGTGAAAGTGATGATTACTCTGACTTTGGCCGCGGTGGTGAAAGTGGGCAGCTGGAGTGCGTAACCATCAGCGCTCGTATTGCAGGCTGACGAGGGTTCGAGGCAGCTGCCATTTACAGCTGGATCCTTCAGCTGGTGGAACATAATTACCACCCGAGTCGGACTGACGCGAGGCACAAACTAAAGGCAATAAACCAGCTACTCCAACACGGTGTCTTTCTTCTCCATCTGCATCTTCAACTGGAACTTCAACAAAAAAAAGAAGGAATTATTTGTCCACATTTTCTATGCTGGTATTTCAAACACGCTATAATGGTACAGGTGCTGGCAGCCTGCTTAATGGACCATGGTTATGCATTATTAAAACAGTTCTGTCACATGCCACTTTAACGGGGATAAAATGACCGAACATTCTTTTATTTTTTTAGCTTCCATTTTATTTAAAAGCATGAAAAGTGATCACAAAAACATGAGAATAATGGGACTTCCTCTAAATACATAACCTTGAATCAGCATTTAACCTTGATTCAGTCCTCACCATCGAGTACCTTGTCCCCCTTTTATAGCTTTTATTATGTTTTAATTTAAATCTGTTAATCTTTGGGATAAAAGATTTTTCCAACACAACACAAATGCCTGTTCATGCATAAAAGTAGAAAAACAAAGTATCTTAAAGGATAATAAACGTAGGTTTCAGAAAATACATGCAGCAGAGGTGAGGAAAAAATACGCTTTTTAAGCTGAACTGCACATATTTGCTGAACTTCTAACCTTCTCTTTAATTTTCTCACGGTTCCTTTAAGCCCCCTTGCCTCGTCTAATTATTTCCAATAAAGAGAAGGAAAAAAAGGAACAAATCTAAATGTAACCAGTATTAGAGGCAGATAAAAAATATAGCTTACCTGCAATTAGAAGTGGAAGTGGAGCTGACAGTGATTTAACTGAGTGTATTTTTACTGCAGTCACAGCAGCTGTTGCTTTAGTCCTCTTCCTTTCAAAATGACATGCGGCAGTATACAGGTATGATCCGTATACCCACCACTAGAGCTGCTCTTCTTACTCTCTTAGCGAGGAAATGATGGAAATCATTTTTTAGTTTTCAAAATCTCCATTTAAAAAGGAATATCAAGATTATGTCGGTGTATTATTTTGTTGTGGTTTAAGTTTGAAAAGTATTGTCAATTAATGGATAAACATCTCCATGTTGACTGTCTCTCCCATCAGCTAAAAGTGTCCAACATTACTGGCCAAAGCAAAATAATACTGCAGAAAATATCATAAAAACGGCACACATTGTCCGTGGTATCAGTGTTATCTGTACACCTCCAGGCGCATTTAGGCAGAATTTACACTGCTTTTACACTGTCTAGACTCTAGAGGATCTTATCTTGTTTGTCCAGTGGTCTTTCGGGGCTCACTGAGGTTATTTCCTCGCCAGTATCGGGACTCGCCGTGCCCTGCAGTGGGACGCGTTGCGATGTCAATGTAGAAGTGCACTCATCTGAATAAGATTAAATGCGTCTCGTCTGGTGTACTACCCACAGAGCCAGTCTACAGCTCAGTGCATTTAAACAATGTTTAGATTACTGAATTAGGCAAAAACACCGATACAACTTTTCTGGAATCACTTTAACCCCAATTACCACACAGACGGTATTTGCCTTGAACTGGTGACTCCCTTAACAGCCACCTAAAGCAACCGTCTGTTGCATCTACAATAACTACATGGATTAATGTTGTGCATTACCGAGCAACAATTACGCAGGGCTGTTCACATCGAAACGTGTGGATAATTTAAAGGTCCCATATCATGGCCATTTCTACTGATCATAATGCAGGGCCTGCCCTAGACTTTTGGGGGCCCTAAGCGAGCTTTGGCTTGGGGGCCCCCCTCACTCTGGCGGGTTCTCCCTACACACAACACGGAACCAACTTTTGTCTTATGATGTTAGCATGAGCACACATATTGTATAAATAAGCATGTAAACACTGTGGACCTAACTTCCTCTAGGGGGGGTCCTCATCTCCGCTAGGAGGGTCCGGGGGCATGCGTCTCCCCCGGGAAGATTTTTTTTAAATAATGAAGTTAAAAGCATCAATCTGGTGCACTTTGAGAGCAAAATTAAGAGATCTATGGATACATCTCTCAACATCCATATGAAACAGAACTGTAAACAGATTTTATTTTTCTTATATTTTACAAATCACTCCCCTTTTAAACTGTATTCTTGTTTTGTCATATAGTATTTCACAACTGTTTTTCATTTATTCTCTCTGGCTTTCCATCTCATAATGTTCACATAGAAACTAGCTGTCAATAGGAATATCATTCAGAAGAATTATAATTTCTTGCAAAAATCTGTCACAAAAAGAGGTTGCA